GGATAGTAAGACAGGGTTTACGGTATCTGAAAGGGTTTAGGGTTTTAGGACCAAGGTCAGTGTAAGAATGGCAGGAGCCAGAACCGGGGAAAAAAGGGACCGGACTGAAGCATTTTAAGTGCTTCACACACCTGTCTCTTATACACATCTAGATGTGTATAAGAGACAGGCCTCGTACCGTAGAACCACAGACTTTGCTGTCTTGAGAAGTTGCTTCCGCATGAACCAACGGTCCTCAGAATGAGGCTGAAAGGAAAACTTCACAAGATACTGCCGATTGAGGCCAGTGCCCCACTCATCTTCAATTGACTTTACCACAACCAAGTATAGGTGGTCCAAATTGAGGGGGCCGGTCAGGGAACGCATCAGTTGATGAGAAAGGCAGCAGCTTAGATGCATGGAAGACCGGAGAGGTCTGCAGATGCAGCGGGACGTCAATTACATACGACGGGCCAAAAGGATCGAAGCCCACTGTATCTAGCACCTGCCATGGACCCAGATAGTGTGGCAACAGCTTGGGAGAGATATCCTCCTCCCTTGACAACTCTGAACTGGCTACCCAGACATGGTCGCCGGTACGAATGGGGGAAGGACGCCTGTGTCGATTAACTTGTTCAATCATAGCCTTCTAGGCTTTGAACAAGTTTGCACAGGCCCTTTCCACATCAATCCTGTAACGTCTGGCAAATTCAGCAGTCCCAGGAATCAGATCAGATCGAGCCTGATTGATGATATCATCAAGAGGCTGTCGAGGAATGAACAGAGGTGTTGTACACAAGCTGTGCACGAGCCAGATGGAGATCCCAATCCTGTTGATCTGGAGAGATGACAGGACGCAGCAACTGAAACAAGACTTGGTTCATCAATTCAGCCTGACCATTAGCTTCAGGGCGACGACCAGAAGTCATGTCTAAACGTAAATGCAGGCAGTCCTTTAGGGGGCAATGCGACACATAACGTATTGTCAGTTAGAGAGGTCCCTCCATAAAAGAGGGGGCAAGCCCTCTGGCGGCCAAGAACCCCCCCAAAAGCAATCACAGGCACAATCAGGAGGACCAAAACATCCACAAACCAAATTGTTGCGCCCCTCGGCCAAGGACACCACCATGCAAGAAGTGGAAGAAGGGGGGGTACTGCCAAAGGAGGAAAGAACGGTGATAGCCGCAACTGGTCATGACTCGCTATCCACTGAGAAAACAGACTTGTCGGCATCTCCAAGAGATGGGCCCATACACCCCTCCTGGGTTAGTAGGGTCCGGAACTCGATGCAAGATAAGACACTTAAAATTCAACAGCTATCTGGCTCCTACCGGGTTCAAGGGTGGAACCAATCAACTGGGTGGCAGATCTGGAAGAGGGTAGATGGGTATCCATCCTGGCTATGCTAGAATTGGAGGTGGTCACCATCCTATGCGTCTATGGCCCAAATGACATGATACGTAGGAGGAATTTCTTTGAATCTATCCGTGCCCAGACTCCGAAAGGTATCCCACTCATTATTGTTGGGGATTATAATGCAGCACCGGAAAGAGGGATGGACAGATGGAATGTTTGTGAACCCCCTCCCCCCTATCTGAGAATGGATGAACAAATAATCAGCGATTTATCCTCCTCTTTGAATCTTTTTGACTCGTTCCGAAGGACCTTAGCGGCCCACAAAACCTACTCTTGCTTCCGCAAGAATGCAACAAACAGACCCACGAAAGCACGCATCGACCTCATTTTACTATCTGAAGAATTGGAAGGGGCTCTCCAAGTAGCTGAGATCTTCCCACGAAGCCCTTTTCCAAGCCTGGACCATTCCATGTGTGTAGTCATAATGTCTTTCCTCAAGAAACCGGATCAAGGGCCCGGATTTTACAAATTGAACTCCTCCCTGCTTATACAAGACAACTTTTAAAAGTACCTTCAAGACGTGTGGAATTACTGGAGATCCTACCGAGACACGTTTCAAGATTATATTCTATGGTTTAGTAACGGACTGGCCTTCTTGGCTAGAAAATGTAAAGAATTTTCAAAAATACAGGCAACTCAGCGTCATCAACAGGAAATGGCGCTACACTACCAACTAGAACAACTGCGTACACAGGAGGAACAACAGGATCCGGAAGATCTGGGGGACAACTCCTGGAACAGATCCAAGACTTGGAAGATCAACTGACAGGTTATATCGAAAGACGGTGGCAGGGGGCACGCATACGAGGCAAACTGCGCCGTCATAGAGTGGAAGGTGTCATGGACACAAAATTTTTCGCCATGGCCAAAGTGAGGGCGGGTCGATCCACGATCGAGGCACTCACTCGAGACCAAACGACAATAGTGACCACAACACCACACTGTGTGCAAATAGCCCGATCCTTTTTTCAAGATCTATTTAGCTCGCACCGTTCCCACCACCCACGGGAACAAAGGGATAAGGAGATAGAAGAGTTCCTTCAACCCCTCCAACAACAACTCACGAGAAGCAACAAGAACTTACGGAAACACCCCTTACAAGGGAGGGGATCTGGACTGCACTGATGCAAATGGAAGAGGAAAAGACCCCAGGAATAGACGGGCTCCCAAAGGAATTCTGGGAATCCCAGTGGAGCCACCTCTCCCAGGATCTAATGGATTATTACCAAGCAGTCTGGACCACGAGACACATGGGGGAATTCGTGGGACACGGAGTACTCATCCTATTATACAAAAAAGGGAACAAAATGAACATACGAAACTATCACCCTATAACACTGCTAACGGCGGTATATAAATTGTTAGCAAAGGCCTTAGCTAACCATATGATAAATGTGATGGAGGATATCATCCATCCTTCTCAAACAGGGTTCATTAAGGGGAGGAAAATTCAGGACAATATCCTTGTGGTGAATCAGGTAACCAAGCTTTCTCGACAATCTAAACATAATTTAGCCATTATCTTTATAGACTTCGAGAAAGCATACGATCACGTGTATTGGTTATTCCTAGACAAATGTCTGGAAAAACTAAGCTTTGGACCCTGTTTTCGACGGTGGGTTGAAATTCTGCACCAGAAAGCCACCACCCGGGTTCAAATAAATGGAATACTAGCCCCTGAGATCCGCGTCGAAAGATCGGTGCGACAAGGTGACCTGATTGCACCTTTCCTCTTTGTGATTGTGGTTGAGGCACTGGCAGCAAATTTAAGAATTAACAAAAAAATACAAAAAATAAAGATCACCTCAATCCCGAAGGAGGCCATTCCCATATGTTCGCTGTTTACGGATGATCTAACGCTAATGATCGACGCTTCTTCGAAAAATCTAATGGAAGTAAAGGCATTAATGGGCAAATTATGTGGCCTCTCGGACATGAATGTCAATTGGGGCAACAAAACATTAGGCTGGTGGGTCCACTACCAAGGAGGAAGACCCCCAGACGATCCACAGATTAAATGGATACCCCTGGAGACCCCGATCATGGTGCTGGGAATATCCATGTCAGCAGGGGGCAAACCCTCAACCAATGATGCATGGATCACCAACCAGTGATCGGAAAGTTGTCCCAGCGGAAAGACAGGCACACTTCCTTGTTTGGTCGTTCACTGGTCATCAATAACGTGATCTTAACAGCCTTGTGGTATCGATCTGCCATATGGGCACTCAGTAAAGAAGGAGTGCGCTCCCCACGATGCCAGGTGGCTGCCTATCTGTGGAGGGGGAACCACGAGTGCCA